AAAAAAAAAAAAAAAAAAAAATAGGAAAACGAAAAACGATTCAGAGCATCAGCAATTGCTTTTCTTTTCCCTATTTATTCTATTTTACTTTTTTTTCTTGTTGCCACTTTTTAGTTTCTCCTGTACCGTTAGGTAGAAAAACCTAATACTTCCTGATGCTGTCATCTTTTACACCTCCTCCCTCTGTCGCTAACCCTCCCACCCCAGTCCCAACCTTACAAAAACAAAAAGAAAAAAAAAATCACTTTCAACTTTCCGTTCCGATTCACTCGTTTTCTTCAATTTTAGAACACAACAAGACAAGACAAGACCAGATAGGACAAAGCAAAACAAAAAAACAACCGGCAAATGTGATAAAAGACGAAAAAAACTACAGTAATTCCATTTTTGATTAGAATCCTTCTCTACAATATTACCTTGTCTTGTTGTTCTTGACCCTTCTTTGTTTTACTTCAACACACCAATAAACACTTCATTTATATCGGCAGAGAAGAAGAAAAAGAAGAAGAAAAAAATGAAAAAAAAAGGAAGAAGAAGAGGACGATGATAAAATTTATTTAAAAGTCTCAATTAGGAAGAAAAAAAAAATAAAGTACTTTATAATTCAGTTATTAATTGCCAAAAAAAAAAAAAAAAGAAAGAAAGAAGGGAGAAAGACACTAAACAAAAAATCATTAAATAAAGAAAAAAAAAAGACAAGAAATTTAGAAATTTTTTTTATTCTGATAACCAATTGTAAAAATTGCTTAACTAATTTTTTCCTCAGCCTCTGCCTTCTTTCACTTCCTCCCCAATATTTTATATACGACAGCTTCGCACTGTTTCCAAAAGAAAAAAAAAAACTTGGCCTTTCATTTTCTTTGAAAGCTCAGAAATATATGTTTGTTGGAAGGGGAGACCCTGTTGATAATCATCATTATCATCATCATCATCATTGTTGTTGTCATATACCTTACCTCTACTAAACGTTATTCCGTAGCGCCTCTTCAGCAAAGTTTATGCTAAAAAAAAAAAAAAAAGTTAACGTCTTTTTCTTTTTAATGCTTAGAAACAAAGAATTAGAAGGGAGGGAAAAAATGATTGCCTTAATCAATAGTACGATAGTTCAACAGGTGCTTTGTCTTTTTTTTTCTGGCAATTCTTTCTCAAATTTTTTTTTCTTTTCATCTTTTTTTTTTTCTTTTCATTATTGTGGAACGTTAAAATGATTTTTTAACTGGAGAACTTACGGTATTCATAATTCTCTGATATTCGATCATCATTTACCATTATTATTTATAGTTTAACTGTAACTGTTGAACACTGAAGCAAAAGAAAAGCG